GGTGGTAAAGACAAAATTGTTCCTTACGGGTGGAACCAAGTATTTTCCAAATAAGTTCAAGTAATTGCAAATATAACATCTTTTCTTGTAAAGATTCTCAAATCCACCTCAGAAATACTAAAAATATACGAGAGTAAAAGGAAAATTATAAATAAAAAAAAAATTGTCTAAATAGGCACATAAAATTTTAAAAGATTTTTATATTTGTAAAATCATAATCTTATTAATATATTTGCAAATGTGGCAATATAATATTGCCACATTTTTCAGGAGCTTCTCATTTTATAAAATATGTACACATATGAGGTGAGAATTTGTAGTCGTAGCAAATTACTAAGCTAACGTACAGAAAAAAGATGTATGATATGTACTAACAAAAAGCCACTCGTATACTCAGTAGAAAATTTCTCGACTATAAACAGTAGAATTTTAGTTGTACAAGGTACACAACCTAATTTAAATTGATTTCAACCTGTTATGATCAATTTACTAACTTAGATATTGAAATAATTCTCAAATATTGGTGATATATTAGGTGATTCTGAATTTTTCATACTTGTTATTGATTAAATAATGATTGAAAATTTATTTTAGACGATATGTAAAAATAATTATTGAATACCACATCCACGAAAAATTAGATTTAGATTTTGCTAATTATTACAATTATAGAGTCGTAAACTCTTGTTAATGTCGAAATATAATTTGGGATGTGTATTTATTGAATCACGGTGACGTCATGGGCTTCTGGAGGGGGGAAATATCTGGTGGGCCATTCATCAAACCCAGCCCAATAATTAAATGAAACCATAAACTAGGGTTAACCGAAGGCCTATCCACGTAAGCTAAATTAATAGTTTAATTTGACAATAAGATAGCAAAATATTCCGTTAAACAAACTAATCATTCCATAAAGATAAAATTATAAACAAGAAAAAGGGAAAGGACATTAATTTGGTTTTCTTTAGTGTACATAAAAGGAAAATGATTAAAAAAAGGGAAGAAAAAAAAAAGAAATAGAGAAAGTGTTTGTATGATAATGCCAAAAACATCGTTTTCGGGAACGATTCTCGAAAATATTGCTTGGAATCTTTGTGGCAAAAAACAAAAAACCGCAATAATAGAATTATTAATACGTAGCTGTAATATAAAGCAATGCTAAAGTTACTTTACTCCCAACTCCCAACCACTTCACTTTTGCCCTTTTTTTTTTTTTTAAACTTATTTTATATATATATATTTCGTTTTTGCCTTCTTTTTATGGAGTTTCTGTTTTTCTATTTTCTCCCATCCCATTCTCAGTGACCAACCAACCAAACCCATTTGTAGTTTTCTTCCCGAGTCAAATCCACAAGAACAACCTTTGCCTAACATTTAACTCATCCCAATTCTTCACCCATCTATTTCAAAAATTTTAATTTCATTCCTATCATTTAAATTATTTGATAGTTTAGCATATTTAAGGTTAAAAAGAATTTTTGGTTCACGTATTTCTATTGATATAGTGATTTAGTTACTTACGTTCAATTATACTTTTAAATTTATAACAATTTAGTTCCTCAACTTTAATATGTGATAATTTAGTCTCTATAGTTTAAAAGTCGTGGAAAATACTGTTAGACTTGATAGGATCTCTTATATTTTTTGTTCAATAAACTAACGAGAGACTAAATGTGTTTATAAATTACAAATATCAAATTGTTATATAATAAGAACACTTAATTTTGATGAGATTTGTTATCATAGGAATTAAATTATTATAATTTTTAAATTATATGGATTAAATTGTTACCTACTAAAGTTCGAGTACTAAGTTGTTATTCATTTAAACAGACATGGATTAAATTGTTACAACTTACAAACTAAATTTTATGGGCTAAATCGTTACTTCAATTAAAGTGCATAGATCAAAAAGTATTTGGTTAACCTACGTTTAATTTCGTTATACATATTCTCTCTCTCTCTCTCCCTGAAGTCTGACACTTCAATTATGTTATTGATGAAAGAGAAAATAACATTGAAGTGATGTTAATTAGCAAAAGTAAAAGTAAAAGAAGAGAGTATAATAAAGGAATGAATTATTCACCCTATGAGTAGAGTAAGAGGCTTAATTACCTGTATAAATAGCCACTTAGTAACAACAATGCAACAAAATAACTAATTATAATCACGTTTAGTTGGTTTTCAACTAAAATAAATAATATTCTTCAAGTTGAAGTGTGTAAATTAGTAACCCTCATATGTTCTAACTTCACGGAGAAATAAAATAAAAGAGAAGAGACCATGACCCAATTGAAAGAGGCGTGGTGAACATATTTTGGCTAATTGGTGAGCATACAAAATGGGGAGAAGCCTAATAATAAAATTGAATCTTTGTGCTTATTCCATTTACCAAACATACCATTGGTGGCAAAATACATATATATTTTTTAAGAAAAAACGATGTAGATTATGCAAATGTTCTAGAAACTACAAATTGTTACTATCGTGTGATCACGACCTTTTTATTAGAAATATAAGTGTTAATTAACCATTTGAGTTATGTTTATGTTTGACCACTATCTCGTAAATTTACATACTTTTGATTAATTCGTCGATCGATATCATGTTAAAAATGTGTTAGTCCTATTATATTTCTAACTGGACCACATTAACACTACATAAATTTTCGATTATATTTGATATCGTTCATTAATGTGGGAATTGTTGAGACTAATGTATTAAAAGTAGAACGGATGGTTTTAGAAAATTTTGAAGTATAAAAGTAAAAGTGAATTCAACTACAAAAAACGTGAATCAAAATAAATTATTCAAACTAAAAACAATTCTTGAAGTTTCACCACTAAACATATATCTACCTTATTTATTATGCAACTTTCGAAATAATTATTATCAACTTGAAAATAGTTTAACTGAGTTAAAGAAAAATTATTTGATAAAAGATCAAATAAATATTTAAAATCGTGATTGAAATTTATTTGTTAAATATTTTAAGGATAAAATTTATTTGATAAATATAAATAAATTGAAATGAGAATGCTATTATTGTTTACCAAAAATTTTCTAAAATCAGAATCATAAATCACTTGATCTTCTCTACAAAAATTGTCTAGAAATCAAAATAATAATTAGATATATAACCATTACTAGTATACCACTCTCTTGTTTTTAGATAATTATAAATATATATTACTGTGATGATCTTTTAATTAAAATATTAACAAATTTTAATTTATTTTATAACTGTTTTATTGATAGTAAATATTTATTTATTATAACAATGATATTAGTAAATAATAAATAATTAAAATAAAATTACATCAACCAAAATAATTTCTTGTCGATAACAATGAATTATATTTTACAAAGGAATAAAAGAGTAAAATAATTAATTTAAATGTAATTGACCACATATAAAAGAGAACAAGTGAAATTATAAATTAATGACGATGAATGTGTATAGCCACAAAATAAAAAATGAGAATGAAATTGACGTGGTTGCAGAAGAGGAATAAAATTATTCATTTGATTTCATCCCTATACGATTTAGTAAAGGATGAAATTCAAATTTAGACATATATCTATTAAGGACAATGGTATCACCCAAATATTTCAATAATATGTATGATATTATCGCATAATATTAATACCTTTAATTTTGATTTCAACCAAAAAATCGGTTTATTTGTCTTCTTTATAATTTTAACAATATCATCAACTAAAAATTAGAGATTCAAATTTTCTGTACACGTGTTATTCAACTCATGGAATAATATATATATATATATTAATGGCACAACGGCGACTTATTCCAAGAACTTCTAAAATATATGTATGGGCCATAATATTTAGATGTTTATTAATCAATAAGTGGTTAAGGGTAAAGGGGTAATTTCATGAGTAGATTTGTTGATTAAATAATAAATAATTATTAAGACATCTGCTACAGTTTAATTATCTTTCTTTCTTTTTGGTTTGTATAATTGAAAACTAAGTGTTTGGTATGCAAGTTTGTTTCAAATTTACTGAATTAATAGATCGAGTGAATATTTACTTTATAAATTTATTTTGAAAACTATTTTCGGATTATACGGTCAAAATAATATAATTTTGAAAATATCGTTGGTATATTTTCGGTGTTTTCAAATTTTACATTTGAATTTTAAAATAATGAATTACGCAAAAAAAAAGGTAACAAAAAACTATGAATTTTAAATGTTGATGTGGATAGAAATTCCGAGATCTTAATTTCATGTAAATATCGATGTTAATTGATATTTTTCGAAAGGTTATAAAAATAAAAAAAATCATAAAAAATATTTAAATGAATAAATAATCATTTGACCATTTTTAAATAAGTTAACGATGCTTAATATTAATATTTTAATATTTTGATATTTTGTCGATTCTTTTGCAATTCTATATAAACATCGATTTACCATTTATGTTGATGTCGATGGAAATGTCGATATGTGATATTTAATATCTATAAATATACATTTCTATATCATAAACTCCTTTCATTTTCATTAAAATTTATAACATATATATTAATAATATTTTAGATTAATTAAATATTTTGTTGGTAGGTATTATTTTTAAATTTGAGATCCAAGACGTCCAAAGAACGGTGAAAATATAAAATATAAAATATAAGCCTCCTTATTTTCATATTTGTGTTTGTGCCCGAGAATGAGCGTGTAGTTTGTTGCACCTGTATCCAAACAAGGTTTCGGGATTTAAGAAGCGTTATAGCGGGGATGAGGTGTTAACTGTGTCTGGAAACAAACACCCCCCAAATGTAAAATTGTGAATAATCAGAACGAGACACAACGCCAAGACACACACAGTTGGTCAATTGAGAGAGAGAGAAGAGAGAGAGAAGAGAGAGAAAATTAGAAAATAAAAATTAAAAATTAAAAAAGGCATCCAAGTGCATTCAATTCTCATCTTGTCGTCTTCGTAAACCTTCAAAACTTGTGCTTTAAGTCTTAACCACTCTTCCCCCAATTCCAAACCCAACTATCGTTATTTCCTCATCTCCGGACTCCCCATTCATCGTCTTCTCTCTTCTCTCTTCTCTCTTCTTCCTTTTCTTATTCTTCTTCTACCCATTTTCATTTTTAATTTTTAATTTTTTTCTTATTGGGTATAATTTCATCTTTATTAGCTTTTATGGTCACAATAAAAGCTGACCCACAATGCTTCTGCCAAAGTTCTAAAGTAGTGTGTCAATTTCACGATTTCTTTAATTAGAGATAAGGGGGAAAGGGGGAGGGCAGGGAATCTGAGGTTCTCAATTCGTGGGATTTGGAGATGAAGCGAGTTCTTGGCGATGGTGATGGTGATGGTGATGGGGATCGGAAGAGTGGGAAGAAATCGAGGGCGGAGACGGCGGAAGATTCCGCTTCCGGGAAGTCTGGGTTTGTGAATTTGGATGATAATTTACTGTTCGAGGTGTTGAAGCATGTGGATGCGAGGACTCTGGCCATGGCGGCGTGCGTGAGCAAGCAGTGGCACAAAACGGCGGAGGACGAGCGGCTCTGGGAGCTGATCTGCACCAGGCACTGGGCCAACACCGGCTGCGGCAACCAGCAACTCCGATCTGTAGTTCTAGCCCTCGGCGGCTTCCGTCGTCTCCACTCCCTCTTCATCTGGCCTCTTACAAAACCCCAATCGTCGGCCGCCGCCCCTTCATCCCCGGCCTCCTCTTCCTCTTGGTCTCCGTTTCCGGCGATGATTGGGTCGAAGCCGCCGGCCCGCTGGGGAAAGGACGAGGTCCATCTCTCGCTCTCCCTCCTCTCAATTCGGTACTACGAGAAGATGAATTTCAGCAACAGAGGCAGATGAGCGCCTCCATATATATTCACTCATTTTAACCATTTTCCCTAAGTTTGGCAATTGAAATTTCCCTTTCAATGTGTTTTTGGATTTGATCTGGGCTGTTCTGGTTAATTAGATCTGTATTATCCGCTATCCGGTTGTGTACTCTACTCTTATAAGGTAAATTTCTAACTTGTGTATCCGATGATATTTTAATTATAT